CCAAAACCCCAAAACCCCAAAACCCCACATGTTGCATTAAAATAGCATTGATAATGAAAAATTTTAAATTAGAAATAATTTATTTTATAATGAGACATAGCAAAAAGGGTGTTTCTTAAATTTATCTTGTCTTTTCAATATTGGCAGCCCTTAATCATGTTAATGGAGCGAGAGTTACAAGCATGATTCAATCTTAGGCAACCTCCTTAAGCACCTTGAGTGGAGCCTCTTCCACTAAAGTGGTTTGCCAAACTTTCCTTGAGAATTTGTTGAATGATAATGATATGAAAAATAATCCAACCTAGGTACTTTTGAACTTTGAAGAGCAGTTTTGTCATTCTTAATCTGATTAATTTCAAAGTAAGCATTTAATATATCTTCATAAAATATTATAGAGGCTGTCATACCTTATTTTTGCTATTACACTGGTCTAAATTTAATAAATAGTATCTCCGCATTGACTGATTAAACAAAGAAGTCCTCTACAATATTTTCATTCTGTGAAACTTTTGGTGATGGCTATTAATAGCGTAAAAGGCTAATTTCAAAGGTATATATGGATTAGGATCAGGAATCCTTCAACACTAAGTGTGTGGATTTTTATGACTACAATTATGACAAAGACTTAAGCAAGTTTGACCCACTCGATATGAGTGACAGACTTGAATCCTTTTACTTTTGCGACTCATTATTCAAAATGATTTAAGTTCTAAAAACACATAAAAAGGATTAATTAGCTGATATTATTAGGTATTCTTACATAATGAGTCTTTAAACTTTCATTGAAACATACTAAGCTAATGATTATGGTAGATGTGAGGAAATAGAAGCATAAAAAGATACTTTTTGCTCAGATTTCTTTGAATGGCGCTCAGATTTCGCTCTTTGGACTGCTAAGTAAAGCTAATAAATTTGTGGTAAAGTAACCTTAAGTGCCAAGGAACAGCCAGATATATAGGATATGTGTGCATATACTATCACAAGGGTTTATGGAATGTATAATCAATACATGAATAAGATCCTAGATAACATTCTGAGCAAAGAGATCTAAGCGTTAAATTAGGAGCTCGATAAATAAATTCAGTCTCAGCATAAGAAAGAGGAGTAGACTCAGGTTAATCTAGACAAAATTACCAAATGGCTAGATGAATTGAAGGTTAAATCTGAGTAGGAAACCAGGCAAAAAGATATTTAACTACTTAACGAAAGGTTAAGAGAAATATAGATAGAAAAAGCATAGAAAGTTAAAGCTATTGATAGTATTCTTAGCTTCCTTGATGACTTGAAGGATGCAAAGGAATAGAAAGAGTATAAGGAAATGGAATCTAATTTAAAAGATGAATTAAAAAATTTAGGAAAAGAAGAGGAAAAAATCATAAATAATACATAGCCAGAGACTATTAAAATTATTGAATAGCGTGTAGACTAATTTATAGAGGATGTTGAGAAACAAAAAGGTGATGATGCAATCAACCAAATGAAAGAAGCTGTAAAAATTTTTGATGATAACTCTAGCAAAAAAGTGGTTGATTTTCTCTAAACACTGATTGACCAATAAGAATATAACAAGCATGACAATAAGAACAAAGGTACAAGAGATACTAGTGTTTATAAGAATTAATATTCTAGCGCAAAAGAAGTAGATAGAAGCAAATAAGAAACTTCAAGTGTGATTGATAGCAACCCCAGATAAGAAATTAATCTTTAGGACAATTAAAATCCTAATGTCAGCATAACCCCTAAACTACTGAATCAAAGCAAATTTAGCTTTGGCGATTTGGAATAAGTGCTAAGCTTTTTGGATAAAGTCATTTTGAAGATGAATCTAAAAACATACAAGGAGATAAAGCAGTAGGTGGTGGAGAAAGAAAGAGAGTCTAAATTAAAAGACATTGCTAATGCTAAGGAAAAAGCTGCAGATGATGAAGAAGATGAAGATGAAAAGTCATAGATAAAAGATACTTCAGATAGTAAGTAGATATTCTAAGAGAATTTGAAGAAGGTACTTAAGTTCTTAGATGATGCAATTATCAGAAAATCCCAAAAATTAAAAAGTTCAGATGTTTCTAAAGTTGAGGAATTCATTGAATCAATCTACAATAATTACGACCTAAATAGAAAAAATGAAAAAGAAAAGGAATAAGAGCAAGAGAAAGTGATAGAAAAGGAAAAGGATAAAGAGAAAGAGGATAAGAATGAAAAAGTTGAAAACAGCAAATAAAAAGAAATAAATGAAGAATCAAAGGAGACAAAGAAAGAATAAAGTGTTGAAAGCAAAATTGAGTAGATTAATAAGTTCCTAGACAAGGCTGAAGAAATGCAGAAATAAAAACAAAAGAGTGATAATAATAAAAGTAAGAAGAAAAAAATTAATAAAAAAGTCTATGAGGAAGAGGATGATGAATAGGAAGAGGAAGAAGAAGATAATGATGAAGAAGAAGAAGTAGAAAAGAAAGTAATCAGCGAATCTAAAGATGTTGAAAGTTCATCAATAGTTTCTGATAAACTAAAGAAAATAAACGAATTCTTAGACAAAACTATTGTCAACTCAAAATCTAAGTAAGTTAAAGATCATCAGAAGAATGATACACCAGTTGCTGTTGTGGAGAAACCTACAGAACATACTGATAAAAAAGAGGATACATCGTCAGCATAAATTGTGGCAAACTTACAAAAAGTAAACTAGTTCATTGATTATCTTTTCGAATAAGAGCAATTCAATAAAAAACTCTAAAAGGTAGAGGATTTCATTGACAAATAGATTAAGGAAGAAAAGATTGACTCTTCAACGTTGAAAGAAGTAAAGTCAATAGTAACTGAGGAAGCTAAGAAAGATGATACTGATACTCAACTTAAGAAGGTTCTTGATTTCATTGACAAACTAATAGCAGCAAAGAAAAATGATGAATCTAAGGTAAAAGAGTAAAAGTAGAAAACTGATACATCTGAGCGCTAAAGAGAGATTGACAGCCTTATTAAGGAAGAGAAAAATGAAGAAAGCAAAGACAATGAAGATGAAGAGGAAGAGGAGGAGGAAGAAGACGAAGACGAAGAGGAAGAAGTCGAAGACGAAGGTGAGGAGGAAGAAGAAGAAGAAGATGATAGTGATGATGATGAAGTAGAAGAAGTAGTTGAGAAAACAAAAGAGAAGAAGTATGGGAATAAATAGAAAAAGAAAGTAGTAGATAAAAAGGAAGAAGAAAAAATTGAGTAAGAAATTAGCAATATCTCAGATTTGTCTGATCTAAGAGATTTCCTTACAACTATGATAAGGCAAACTTCAGATGATGAAAATGACTCAGATAAAAAGGAAAAATTGCAGCAACTTAGAGACGTCATTGATGAGTATTCTGTCAAGCAAAAGCAAGAAAAGGTGGACAACTTCCTTGATTAACTGATAAAGAAGAACGCCAAAGGAAGAGTAGCGTAAGCCAAGCTATCTATGAATGATGTATCAGCCTTCATTAATGACTATGAAAAGCAGCTAGTTCAGTCTAGAGTCTAAACAAAAGCGAGCAGCAAAATTGAAGATGAAGAAGATAACTTCTCTTTCCTACTAGATGACTTTGACAAGATAAAAAATAAATGAGCACCCATTATGAGCAGATAGATGGTGAACACCGCTTATCTGTAAGAAGGATAAGATAAATTAAAATTAAGATGATAGATGATTATACTTTAATTTTTGACATTTCAGTCTATTTATTTACTTTACTTTACGCATACTTACTTCACAATCTCATTCACTTATTATAATAATTTAATTAAATCAAAATGGAACAAAGAGACCCTATTAATCATGTAGTAGACATTTTACTGAGTCCTAACTAAGCTGTATCATTATTTTATTTTAATGGCTATGATATAGAATGATGCAAAGGACTTGGAAAAGAAAAGGTAGGAACTTGATAAATTGTTTTAAAAATTGTGCAATGAAAGGGCTTAAGACTTTAATAACATTTTATTTTCAGTCAGACCACTAGAGGTATAGATTTTTTATTCTGTATAAACAATTTTTAAATTAGCAACAACTAAATGAGTTGACTAGTTATGTGGACGGTCTCTAGAAAAGTTCCAAGGTCTTAAAAGATGAGTTGATGTCTCAGACTAATCTGTTTAACTTCAGACAACTTGAGTTCAAGTCATTATATTATCAGGAACTGATAGAGGGCTTACAAATCTTTGAAAAGATTGAGAGAATGATAGAAGAGGTAGAGTTCCTATCTGGTCAGCAAAACCTCCTTTCAGCTTCTTAAAAATTCAGAGAACTCAAAGCATTCACTACAGACACGCCTGAGATCAAACAGATTCTCTAGGAATTCGGAGTGCAAGAAATGATTCGTAAGCGGATATAAGAAAAGCAAAGAATCCTGATGGATCAAATCAACTCTAACCTCGTAGATTTCTTGTTCATGACGAACAATTCTAGCTCAGAGGCTTGCAAGAAAAGAATGCAGATGATTCAAAAGTACTTTGAGCCTAAGTTCGACAAGTATGAGGACTATGAATCACTTTTAGAGTATGTTTGTAAGGAATTCGGAGATGTCAAAAAGATTCAGGAGTAGTTTCAGAAGATACACAAAAAGCAACTTGAATGTGCTAACAAAGCCACAGAACTTATAAACACCTAGTTATAGCTCAATGATGAGATGGTGGCCACTGGCCTTCTTTGTCTTCAAAAAGATAGTCAAAAAGCAATTGAGGAGTAAAATGTAGCATATCTATCTCTTCTTCTAATATCTTTTAAGAAGATATGCGATGATCACACTGTTCAGGAATATTTGAGGACTCAAATGGATAATCAAATGTAAAAACTGTTTTAAAATCTGCTTGAGATACTTAGCTTATAATAAAAAACATCATTCAGTAAAACTGTGAAGAACAGAGCAATGGGTGGTATTGATAACGATGTGATATCTGAGTTAATACAGATTGATGGGTAAATGCTTAGACAGGCCACTCAAGTCATTCACTAAATATTTTTCTCGTTCCAATAAAACTTAAGCTACTTTATGATAATAGACAAGCAAGAGTAGACTAATATAGTTGAGAATGGCATAAGTCTGGACTATGTGAATATTTTCTTCTATTACTTCAAATTTCTGATCCAAATACTCTTTGATCATGATAAACGAATGAAGGAATTCAATCTAAAAAATGGCATAAGTGAAGAGACCCAATAATAAATTTAACAATAAACTAATGGTACTGGGTAAAAGAAACCAATAGTAGAGAAGAATATGCGCTTTAGTTTTAGGAATAAAGAAGACATGGAGAGTTTCCTAGTAGATTAAGTCAGACTAAAGCTAGATTTTTATAAGACAATGGAGGAGATAATAGTGCCCACGTTGCTTAAGAAAAACATATCCTTTGTAATGACTCTGGGAAGTAGATTGATATTTATGATTGATGGCTTAGTTGACTAAGTAGAGGAAAACTTCAATAAAGAGAGTCAAAATAAGCAGCAGATTTTGGCTTTCAAAGGCTGGATGAAGAGATTTATCATCACTAACTACGAGATATTCCTCGACTACTATAAGAATCACTCTGAATTCGTTGCTTAGAAGTGCTTCAGCAGGACTTTAAACCCTTAAAATCTTGTAAAGACTGGCATTTAAGATGAGAAAGTACTTGTGAATCAAAGTCAGATAATTCAACAATCCCTATTTGGTAATGATATCAAGCAAAGCATGCAGTAGATTTCAAAAGCCAGCATAATTGGACGAATAAATTAAAGTACTAATGATAACAGTAGCTCAATGTGGGCAATCTTTGATTACATCACATCATTTTCGTACGTTTCCCAATTAGCTGTTGAAAAAATCCCATTAGAAGACAAAAGTAAACAGGACCAAGCTAGTTTTCGCTAAGAAATTCTTGAATCTGTAAACAAGGTTATGAAAAAAGTGCTAGATAAAATGAATATAGTGGTAAACTTATGCTTTAATGGGAGTCATAGAGATGTGTTCTTCCCAATGAAGCTATACACATCTGAGCGAGAGTCTTACTACTTCAGAGGACTTATCAAACGAGAGGATTTGAAAACTGTTAAGAAGGAAAAGTCGATACCCAATGAAACCATAGATGATTAGGAATTTTTGTATAAGCCAAAGCTTGCAATGCAAAACGACCTTTTATCAAATAGTATGACCACTCTGACTCTGATGATGCAAATATACATGAAAATAAACGAGGTAGCGATTAAGGAATTCGGGTCCTGCTATTAATTTATATCAAGTTAGAAACTGTGGGAGCAGCTGCTCTCTGAGAACTGCAAAAAAGAGTACAATAGAACTTTTGAAGGATTGCAGAGTTTGGTTTATGAAATACTCATATTTTTGAGATGTGAGTTTACAGCAAGAGCTTTTAGTCACATGAGAGAAATGACTGTAAGAAATTGATTATTAATTATGAATACAGAGGATTGACTTTACTGGTGTATCAGGTGCCACTTCAAGAGTAGAGCCTTTCGTCCAGACTTTGATCAGAGACCTTAAGATCCTTTCCAACTTTGTATCCCAGTATCTCTCCCAAGTTGAAGTAATTTCTATTAATAGTATTTTGATTTAGATATTCTACTTGTTCTCCCATCTGCAAAAACTAGTGTTTAAGTTGTACGGATTCTATGTGCGCTTTATCAAGCGTTAGGAGATAGACGAGAGTGGATTCCAAAGACTCAAGAAGTCTCTGTTCCAACTTAAGATCGAGTTTGACATGATAGTTCCTAAGCTGTTGAGTGAGAGTAGCCCCCAGATAAAGAGTATAGTTGATTAGTTCAAAGTTGAGATAGCTAGGGAATATGAGAAGACTATATACATACTTTAGTTGTTGATCTGCGATGAAGAGGAAATTGAAGACAAAATTAAGGAAAATGATTATGGACTAACTGAGAAGGATTTTGGGGCACTCTCTGGGATTTAATAAAGTTATGCCTAAAGTTAAAGCTATTGATATTGATTATTATCATTTCAAATTTAGATTTATTTGTGATAATCGAATTGATTTGAATGAAATCTATCATCATGGGGTTTTGGGGTTTTGGGGTTTTGGGG